AAACCCCGTACCCCTTCAGTAGATACGTAGTCTTGGATTAAAAGTTTTAATCTTGCTACACAGGACCAATTCTTGATACCTTGAAATTACCAAGCGCATATACTGAAACATTGTGTTAACCAAAAATGCAGATTCTGTGATAAATATCCAGAAACAATTGACCATATTGTATCAGGTTGCACGGTGTTCGTACCAGCAGAATACAAAACTCGGAATGATCGAATGGGTCATATCTGCACTAAATAATATGCAAATTTTACAGGAAGGAAACTAAGCAACTGGTCTGAACATCACTCAGACCCGGTGAGAGAAATAGGATCTGTAACAATTTTATAGGCCTTTGCAATACACACAGAACAATCAAAGCTAATCGCCCAGACATCACAAACAGAATGGGCTTTCTTATTGGCATGATAGTATCTGCAGATTGAAATGTATTTTTGAATGTCGTCAAAAAAATTATCACAATAAAAGGATCTGGAAATGGAAATCTGAAAATAGTGGCACATGAGAACCTCAATTATTCTTGTTGTATATGAAGGCCTCGAATTTATTGGAAAAGATTCCAATAGACGCATTGGAATGATTTCTGGTATTCCATAAAATTGTACTCACAAGTACACCTCATATATTTCGAATAGCTTTATCTGTGTAAAATGTGTGTTATAATGAGCAGTGGTAAATGATATGAAGCCATTTCTGATCTTATGTCTCCGGAAAGAAATGTGTATAAAACGAAAACAAAAATCAAAAATAATACCGTAATTTCTCGAAAATAATACGCACACTTAAATAATAAGCACCCCAACAAACGATTCAAAAATTAAGAAATATGTCTATCCCTATGTATAATACGCATCTATAAATTTTGTACAAAACAAAATAATAACAATTACGAAGACATTTTTGTCGAAGTTGACATTAAGAATAAAATCGTAACTGATCGGCTAAAATAATGTTGAAAATTACCATTTATTTTAGCGCCAAAATGTCGTCAAAACGTGCGCATTATAGTACAAATTTTAACCAAAAAGTAATAGAATTAGCAGAAAGAATAGGAAACAGAGCTGCAGTTAGAGAATATGAGTTGAATGAGGCTAACATAGGTTTATGGAGAAAGAATAAAAATTAACTAAAAAAGTGTAAATCAAGTGTCAAAGCTCTAGGTAGAGGAAGAAAATCTCAATATCCAGATAAGTTTACTTGAATTTGTGAAAGAAACACAATCAAGTGGATGTTCCATAAGTTCTTCGAAATTGGTATTTTTACAGATTTTTCATTTTTTCACCATATAAAAAATGCCGTTACTTATAAACATAAATTTATTGACAAAAATGTTACAATCGTTATTGATTGATCTAAAATGAAAATTAGGATAATGTATTTCGTATTTTAGAACAACAATTACGTCATTTATTATTATAAATCAATAACGAAAAAATATTTTTGCTTAAACCTATTTATAATACGCAACCCTACTATCACCTGTAATTTACAGTAAAAATACGTATTATTTTCGACAAATTATGGTAATAACTGGCTACTGTCACCACAATTGTACTTTCAACATCAAAACAGGGTTTTTCCATACATTTATTTGTCAATATATTGAGTATTCCACTTCACATAGCATGGGAAATAGAAGAGATATTTTCATATGATTTCCCATGTGTATTTGCGGTGAATTGAATATAACGAAACTGAACTGAAAGCGAACTGAGCCCGCTATACATTACACCATCCGCACATCCTTCAATGTCATAGCCTGGCATCTAGAAGTTATTTAAAAATAGATAAAACGATCAGGAAATACCCTCGCCACGTATAACACGCAACATTGATTTTGGGAATTAATTTCCTTGAGTTATATAGTCCTTCCTTCCCTCCTTCTTTGCTACAACTATATCACTGTTATATTAATGATTGTAGTGAGTCTTGGAAAGTGGAGAAGCCCAAAATATCCATATACTTTTCTTTCTCTCTTTCTCCCCCCCACTCTCTCTCTCACACACACTCATCAGTCGATCACTTTAATAAATAAGCAGTTTCTAATGAAATGCTACATAGAAATATGGTTAAATAATTCCCTTGTTTTACCTGGGAATTTATCTCTTTGCGTTATATTAGTCCTTCCTTCCGTCATATTAAGATGTTACTATATAAGAATTTGTTTCAGAGTTTGTCTAGGGGCCTATAATGTCTTTATGGTTTATTTAATGTGGAAAGTTAATTTTCTTGGGAACATTAGTACTTTTTTATAAAATGTATTGCTGTTTTTTTTTGTTTTTTTTTTCCAAAATCTTATTGCTGGTAATTTTTTTTTACAAAATTGTATTGCTGTAATTTTTTTTCTTTTAACAATAATGTATTATTGGAAATATTTTTCTTGCAACAACGTATTGCTGGAATTTTTATGCATTGCTGAATATCTGTTTTCATGTATTACAGGTAATACGTTTTTTATGTATTGCTGATAATATATGTCATGTATTATTGATAATATGTATTTTTATGTATTGCTGGTTATATTAGGTTGGTGCAAAAATAATGACGTAATAATGTCATTTTTTGACGTATTTTTAAGGTCAAAAAACGACATTATTACGTCATTATTTTTGCACCAATCTAATACGTCTGTTTATGTTTTTCTGGAAATCTTTCTTGTACTGCTGTTAATATGTTGTCATACATTTCTTGCAATATATTTTTAGATATTATTGGGAAATGCATTTTCAAGTATTGCTGGTAAAATGTTTTTTCCTGTATTGCTGGTAATATTTTTTGCTTGTCATATGTTTTTATATATTGCTGGTAATACGTTTTTACGTGTATTGCTGGCGATACATTGTTATGTAATGTTGACAATCTGTTTTTATGTATTGCTGGTAATAAAATTTTCAAGTATTGCTGGTAATATGTTTTACATGTATTTCTGGTAATATTTTTGCATTGCTTATCACACGGTTTCATGTATATCTGATAAAAAGGTTTTTATGTATTACTGGCAAAATGTTTTTATGTATTGCTGATAATATTTTTATGTATTGCTAGTAATCAGTATTTATGTATTGCTGGTGTTATGTTTTTATAAATTGTTGGTAATACATTTTCTATGTGTTGCTGGTAATATGTTTTATGTAATGCTAGTAATCCTTTTTATGTACTGCTGGTAATATGTTTTTAAAGCATTCGTGGCAATATGTTTCTTTATTTTTTAGATGTATTGCTGTTACATTTATTTACTCTGAAAATGTATTACTCGGAATTTTTCTATAAATATAGATTTTGAGACTTTAATAGAGTCATGACATCTGTTCGGGGTTTAATAACTAGGACCCTAATTGGTGTTACTACCCCGGGTCAAGATGGACCTGGAAACAACAGCAATTAAGAAGGGGCCCACGTTCCTCAAAATATGTGTTTTATCGTCATACCCAGAACAGTGTTAAATCACGGATATACTAATGCCTACAGTGGAACTTGGAAACTGGAGAAGAACAAAACATTTCCTTTCACTTTCCAAGCACATCACTACATTCAATATGTACAATAACTTTCTAAAATAAAAAATAACACCTATTACCTCATGTTTCAGGTAAATAATTTTGCAAATTTGATTATATTAACCAGCAAACCAGTATAACTGGAAAATTTAATTATATTTAATAAATTGGATGTATATTTTATCGTAAGTAGACACAGTAAGTAATCCTACTGAAGGTATTGAAGGAAAGCGTGAAGAAAAGACTAAATGTCAACAATAAGAAGATAGAATTAATGCAAATTACAAAATGGGAATACCAAAAGCAAACACTTACAATTTATTATATCTGGAAATTGTTTTAACAGAGGACAAAAAGTGCAGCAGTGAAATCCAATGAGAAAGACGAACGATGCATTTCAAAAGCTAATCAAAATATTAAGAAACAGAAAGGTTTTAAAAAAAAATACAAAGAAAAGAGTACTGGACTGTTATGTAATATTAGTCCTCCTATATGACAGTGAATGCTGGACAATTTCTGCACTGAAGAAAATGAGACTTGAAGCAACAGAAATATGTGTCACCAGAAAGTTGTTGAGAATACCCTGCACTGGAAGTATGAACAATGCTGAAGTTTCAGGGAAATTGAAAACAAAAAGGAGACGTAAACTTAATATCGGGAATAGTTGATATTTCTAGGGCACATTATGAGGAAAGATTGTTTGGAAAATTTGAGACTCACAGGACAGAGGAAAATAACACATAAGCAGATAATGAGTTTCAGCAAATGGAAGGAAGTGCTAGGTTTAAGATAGATAAGAAAAAGACAAAATTTATTAAGAATTACAAAAATAAGAAATTGTGGAATGAAAAAGCCAACGTCTGAAGGGAGACAGTATATAGAAAAATTAGATATCTTTCCGAGTCGTATTTGGAAGGATATTCGTTTTTTGTTTTTTCTTAGATTTCCTTAGATTTTTATGATCCAGTGTTAAATTCCTACGGAAACTAGGGGATAAATGAGAATATGGTAAGAAAGTAGTGAGAGAATATGGTAAGCATTCACAGACATCTAAAAGATGTATACAGGCAGATTATGTTGCCTAAGACATGATTATCAATTATAAGCATGAAACAAATTGCTCAACCATGCTGACTGAAAGAAAAATAATGATATGGTAAAGAAGAAGTGGTGGTGGTGTTTTGGGATTGTACAATGATTTGAACTGAAATACCAAAGAAGAAGAAGAAGAAGGTGGAAACGGAGGAAGATTTTTGTTGATATATTGGAACAATAATAAACTCAAGATTATATTTTCAGGAAAAAATCTGATTAGGAATGATCTCAAAAGATGTAAAAAGAAAAAAAATGGCAATGAAAGCAACAAAAATATCGTGTACTAAAAAAATGTTTGGCTTTAAAAAGCTTACCGCGTTTGTGTCACGCGTTTGAAGAATCTTGATGCGACGGGGGAAATCCTAAACGCAGGTGTCCGTATCAATAGGCGGAATCACAAGGTCATGGAGAGGAAAAGAAATGCGAGGGGAAAGAGATGTATACATAGAAGCAGGAAGAAGAAGAAGAAGAAGAAGAAGAAGAAGAAGAAGAAGAAGAAGGAAGAGGAGGAGGAGGAAGAAGAAGAAGGAGGAGGAGGAGAAGAAGAAAGGGAATAAAATTCTAGTAGCATTAAAAAAGTCGAATATAAAAGAGCGATAAAGAACATAATGAAATAAAAACAATGTGAAAGCCAAGAAGAAGCAAAGCAAAAATTAAATGTAAGCAAATATTAATTATAAGAAAACTCCCAAGGAGTCGAAACCAGCAAGCAATGTGAACAGACACACGCAGTAGTAGTAGTAGTAGTAGTAGTATTAGCAGTATTAACAACAAAAGTAATTTAGTAGTCGTAGTAGTAATTAAAGAAGAAGAAGAAGAAGAAGAAGAAGAAGAAGAAAGCAAATGAAAATTATAGGCTTATCCCCAAGTGGAGAAATCTGAAAACGAGTAAAGGATTTTAAAAATAAAAAGTGTAATGTACTATTTATCCTACGAATACCACTTCTTCTTCTTCTTCTTCTTCTTCTTCTTCTTCTTCTTCTTCTTCTATTACAACTACTACTACTTTTACTAATAATGATACTAATAATAATAATGAGAAAAGAAGCGGGAAGGCAAAAGCACTGTGGCAAAGCAAAAGATGAAAAATAAATTTCCATATAAATAACCACCAAATATATTTTCCTTTTCTACTACTACCACTGCTACTAATACTACTAATAGTATTACTACTACTACTACCGCTACTACTACTACTAATAATAATAATGATGCAACTAATAAGAAGTAGAAAGAGAAGAAGAAGAAGAAGAAGAAGAAGAAGAAGAAATGTAGAAGGAGAAGAAAAAATGTGGAAAGAGAATAAAAAAAAAAAAAAGGAGAAAAATTAAGAAAATCAAACTGGAGGTAAACAAGGAGAAGGTGGTCGGCGGTGGTAGGAAGAGGAAAGATCAACTCTGATAGGCGAGGCAAAAGTGACAAAGCGGAATGATGACTAAAATAAAAAGACTATTAATGCATGTAGGATAAAAAATAGTCATGAAAGAATAATCCTGCGAGGAAGAAGAGATAAGACGGGAATAAGTGTCGAGTCATCGGTGGGTGAAGAACGAGAGAGAATGAGAGAGAAAGGAGTCGGAGAAGAAAGAAAGAAAATAATGCCAGTAGAGTAAAATTGGAAATATGAAGGAGAAAATAGTGAAGTAAAAGAAGGAGGTGGAGTAGGAGAAAAGAAGAAGAAAAAAAAAGTTGAGGGAGAATGAGGAGAAAACAATGGGTATGTGGAAGAGAAGGAGGTGAAAAAGCAGGATGAGGAGTAAAAAAGATTGTCGAAGGTTGGAGAAGAAGAAGAAGAAGAAGAAGAAGAAGAAGAAGAAGAAGAAGAAGAAGAAGAAGAAGAAGAAGAGGGAGCAGATGGAATAAAAAGGAGGATAAAAAAGAAGGAGAGGTGGAAAAGAAGAATTAGTCGGGAGAAGAGGAAGAGGGGCAAAAAGAAAAACGGAAAAGAATTCTGAAGTATAAGAAAGAGGAGCGAAGAAGAAGAAGAAGAAGAAGAAGAAGAAGAAGAAGAAGAAGAAGAAATAATAATAATAAGAAAGGTAGAAACAGAGGGTCTGTAAAAAAAAGAAATTATGATGAAAGAAAAAAAGTATAAAAATTAAAAAGATTCAAACGTAAAAATGATAAATCAACAGGTGTGTTTTACGTTGCTATTATTTGAAAGTAGTTTCGAGTTTCCTTGTGACTTCTTCAGCAATTGTACCGAACACAAAACAAGTGCAGCAATAAGCGTTACGAATGAAAGAAATGAAATGAGAAAATCCAAGAATAAAAACTGAAAATGGAAAGAAGTTAAAATATTATTTTCGAAAATTATAAAAGTAGGACACCCCCGCAAATAATTCAAGAAAGAAAAGAAAAAATGAAAGTAAACTTAAAAGTAAAAAGTAGGAAAACAAAAATTGCAATGAAAAATGTAAGTAAGAATTTACATAAAAAAGAGCTTAATAATAATAATAATAATAATAATAATATTAATAATGAAATCCCGAAAATTGTGGCACATGGGAACATCAACAATCCCTGTTGTAGTTGGAGCCCTAGGGCTGGTTGGAAAAGACTGCAGTAGACTAATTGAAGGGATTCCTGGAAGTCCATGCCTCAAGGAGATACAAAAAATTGTTCCGACAAGTACAACCCACTCTTTACGAAGGGCTTTATCTATGTAATTTTTTTTTTTTTTTTTTTTTTTTTTGTCAGTGGAAAGTGTCATGTTGCCATTTCTAACCTTAGGTCCCTGGACGGGACCCGGAAAGAAATGTGTACACGCCAGAAATCAAAGAAAATAATAATAATAATAATAATAATAATAATAATAATAATAAATCAGTAGCTACGTAGTACAGGGTTAAAATACGAAACTGAAAGTTTTATCCTTACTGCACAGGACCAATACGTGTTAACTAGAAATTATCAAGCACACATACAAAATAAAATATTGCGTTAGCCCAAAATGCAGATTCTGTGATAAATATCCATAAACAATTGATCATCTTGCATCAAGTTGTACAATAGTGTCACCCATTGAATATAAAAACAGAGTGGGCCAATATCTGCACTGGAAAATCTGCAACTTCTAAGGGAAGGAAACTGAAAGATATTGGTATGAACGCCACTCAGACGGAGATAGGGCATGATACAATTTTACGGGAATACACACAGACGGAAGAATTAAAACTAATCACCCAGACATTGTTATTAGAGACCGCAAACAAACAAAAAATACCTCCTTATTGATATGGCAGTCCCTGCAGCCTGCAATGTATCTTTGAAGATCAGCAAAAAGCTATCAAAATAAAGGGCCTTGAAATCGAAATCACAAAAGTGTGGCACATTTGAAAATCAACAATCCCTGTTGTAGTTGGAGCCCTTGGATTGGTTGCAAAAGATTCCAGTAGATAAATTCAAGGGATTCCTGGAGGCCCATGCCTTAAAGAAATGCAAAAAATTTTCTCACGAGTACAGCCCATAAATTACGAAGCACATTATCTATGTAAAATATATCTGTGTGTATGTTGATTTTTTTTTTTTTTTTTTTCATCAGTTAGAAACGGGTTGTTGGGTGAAAATAATTTAGTCCCCACGAGGACGCGAAAATGCTTTTGAAATATACCGTAATTCCCCATGTATAATACACGTTTTTTTTTTTTTCTAGAAAATAATAAGCAAAATCAGGGGTGCCTATTATGCACAGATTCAAAAAGTCTTTAAAAACTTGCCGTGAAACAAAAGATTTATCATAAAACTAAATTAGAATAATATTATTCTATGTTCAAAACCATTTTTAAATAAGAGTAGGAAACGCTGACCATAATGAAATTGAAGAGGTAAAATGTGTAGGGTTTGATTACCAAACAAGGGGCACGTATTATGCGTGAGCAAAATCATTTTCGCACACTTTCAGCACAATTTTAGGGGTGCGTATTATGGATGAAGGCGTATTGAAGAGGTACAATGTGTAGGGTTTCATTAACAAACAAGGGGTCCGTATTATGCATGATTAGAAGCATTTTTCCACATTTTCAGTTTTAAGGGTGCGTATTATGGATGAAGGCGTATTACACATTAGGAATTATTATATATGGAGACAGGAACGTGTATATTGAGAAACTGCTTCCGTATCTGAGAGCAATTCTCTATTTGTTTTAATAATTTCACCTCAAGCAAGGCAATAAAGCCACTAATACGAAAGAAGTTATTGAGTGTTAGAGAATATGAAGAACAAAAACACGATTACTGAGGAGCGAGGACAATAACAGAATAAGAATAAAGAAGCGATAAAAGAAGCTGTTAGCATAGAACTTACGGTTCAATTCAGTCTTTCAATAATTCAATTTTCACTGTCTATATTTCTGACATGAGGCATTATGTACATTATTTACATTATTCAGACTATTGTCCTCATTTTTGTCACCATATTTATTACAAAGTTTCAGCCCTTGTACGCTCCAGCCTTCTTCAGGTGGTTGAAATGTCGAACTGAACCCTTTGTTTCGCTCACTGGGATAGACTGCTCTCGTTCCCCGTGCCATGTTTAATGGATGTCAGTTATCAGTTATCCCCTGTTAATTCCCCTCTCCAAGTTCTCCATTGCCTTAACCGGGTATTGAACACAAACTCTTTGGGTACTGTCACTGGATCTAACTAACGCCTTTATCCACTGTGCCACGTGATGACTGACATCCATTAAAGATGGAACGTGGAACTAGAACAGTCTACCACAGTGAACGAAATCAAGGGTTCAGTTCGACATTGCAATCACTTGATGAAGGCCGGGGCGTACAACGGCCGAAACGTTGTAATAAATATGGCGACAATGATGAGGACAATAGTCCGAATAATGTAAATAATGTTAATTTTTACTATTCAACTGTAAAATGATGAGACCTTGCCGGCAATCTAGTACTGCGCTCAAATTCCTAATGTTTAGTTTCCACAGTGGAAAGGAAAGGATTTATAGAAAAGTCACAGGGAAGCTAAGTTACGGCGATAGGAAAGTGATTGAACCCTAGATGCCAGGTCAGCACTAAAAACATAGCAGATTCTTCTTTGGATTTCATCAAGAATCTCTAAATATATAGCAGGAGCACCAGACTAAATGTGGCAGCAATATTCAAAGCAAGGACATATGATAGACTTCTAAAGATGTAACATAGATTCTAGCGATTTGGTTCTTTAAAGATTGTGTGACAGCGGCAGGAATCAGTCGCTGACTGGGACGCTACAGATAACCGACCATTTTTCCGGCATCTTTAATGTTGGATAATATTTACGTGGCACTGAAATAACCATTGCTAATAATTGTTCTACAGAAAGCATTACAAATGCAAAATAAACTTGTTGTTATTGGTCACCAATTATGGCAAGTGTTACTGAAAAATCAGGACAATTAGCGTAAATGACCTTCTAATGATTTTACTTTAGAAATAATTCATAATTTTTTTCCAAGCTTTGCGACGACACGGCTGCGAGAAAGGTGCTGTACGGGTGAAGATAATTCGTCACCCATATTGACGAGGATTCTTTATCGTAAATGGAAAGCGAAGACATATATGACAGCGCAACTACAGTAAATACGCGTTTATAATCACAGATTATTTGCTGAATTTTAAGCAGTCAGGTATCTTTCCTCGTGAATGCCACATTGGGCATATCTGTTGAGGAGCAAGAGAGAATGGAAGTTTCATAGTCTAGCGTTGAGTGGGTTGGTTTATTTTTTTAAGTTTTAAGGATGAATCAGGTAATGTGATTAGGGAATCACATCTAGATATTTATGAATAAACTTAATCGGAGATGGTTTGAGCGAGTTGTGTTACACGATTTGAGTGTATTTCTAACTGGTACGGGTCGGCAAGTTTTTCACTGCTTTTATGGAAACCTTTTTTTATCCTATCTTGCAAATTTGGCTCTGATATATATATTTCAATTTTACACTAATGCCTCTTATTTCCTGGAGTCATAATCTGCATACTGATCTTGATATATATGTAACCTAGCATCATTTTGTTGTCGTAGTGATCATTCAATAATAATAATAAAAAGAAGAAGAAAAAAGAAAAAAAAAAGGAAAAATATCAATAAATAAAATATATATTGAATTAAAAGTTCAGTACAATACATTGTCCTTCGTATAGAGCCGGAAGCGCTTCCCATGATGAATACAAGCCTATTATGAGAATTTGAAAACTGGTAGTCGAAGTGTCGCCATTGCGCAATCGGCGAATACAGTATGCCCATTTGGTCTGATTATTTATATTGGTTATAGAACTCAGTGTTCCTTTCCATTTAAACTATATTAAACGGGCAGAAAAGACGCTTAAAATATATGACACGAACACAGCAATACAAAGTTAAGAAGCTGGTTAAGATAAAGCAGTATAACATTTCTAATAATTATATTACAAACAGGCACACGCCTCACCTACATATTATCTATCTATCTATCTATCTATCTATCTATCTATCTATCTATCTATCTATTCTTCAAAGAATTACTATTTTCCCAAGCAATGATACATGCTTAAAAATGTTCCAAAATTGAAGGCAAAAGTTTGAATCCTTATTCAAAATATACAACAGAGAAATTAATCTCAAAGTAATAGAAATACCAAGATGCATAAGAAAAATCATAAACGTCACTTACACACTTACTTTATTATTAGGCATTGAATTGTGTCACATAGTGTCCTCCATAATTTGCCAGACTTTTCAGCTAACCTGATTGACATTTATGAGCGATCTGAAAAATAAAAATGTTGAATAGTCAATAACATTTTGGCTCTTGTATATAAATAGATGTAACAAAATAAGTATCCTTACATTTGCGTTGATAGGTTTCCATAGAAGACGAAACATGTCGTCTAATTTTTCCTTTTGTCTTTATTCATATATGTATATATATATATATATATATATATATATATGTGTGTGTGTGTGTGTGTGTGTGTGTGTGTGTGTGTGTGTGTGTTTCTTTTCTGGATATAATTATTTACCAACTGCCCCACGCAGCAAGATGTGGCAGAAGGCCGAGTTTAATGTGGGGTATCCGAGCTCGTAGTCTCGGGCAAAAATGCCTATAGACCACGTAAAAACGGAGTCAGTTTCCCGAGACGAAACTCTGCACTTCGGCAGAGCCTCATCTGTGGATACCCTCTGACATATAACTTTATAGTGTCTAAAACTTTCTAAAAATGTTCTTTATATCCGAACACTTTCAGCTATTCGCTTCGAAATCTAACAAGGATATTTTTTTTTATTTGTTTCTTAATATGTGCATTAACATATATCTATACTGATAGGAATGTTTTTTTTTGTCTTCTCCGAACACGGTCAAGCACATTGTGCTAATAAAAAAAAAAATCCCATCACTATAGATACTCATATATAAAAATCTGCATCTTCCCCAAAAATACAAAAAAAAAAAAAAATCCTTGATAAATTGTAATAGACTAATAGTATAGACGAAAGCGATCGGAAATATACAATATTTGAAATGATATACACAGACAGAGCATAAATTCTGAAACCCTTTTTCTTTTTTAATCATTACACCCAAAGCAAAGAGGGAATTCGACGAGTACGCAGTGTTGGTGGGGGGGGGAGGACAGAGTGAAAATGGGAGAAAACATTAGGTATAGAAGGTATTGAGGAAAGGTTAAAAGATGAACGGAATTCAAGAGGCTAGAAGATGAAGACTGACGCTGCATTTAAAATGTCGAAGATTGCAGTTATCCGGTAAGCAAGTAAAAGGAAGGGAGTTCCACAGAAAAGAAATTGTTCAAGTATTAGTGGCGGTTGCATTCCGTGCCATTATACATTACACCACCTGCACATCCAAACTTACATCAACTTGTATTCCCAAACTCACACCCATCAAGCTACTGACCAGGCTTGTTTCAGCATGATGCGGCCGTAAGCGTCAGATAAATAAATTTTGCAAATAATTCTATTGATTTACATAAGAAATTTCATCACTGCTACTTCCAAAGGGAAACATGAAAATCAAGTAGAATTTTAATGAACACAGATTTTTTTAATCATTTCACCCCAAGCAAGGCAGGAATGCCACTACTAAAGAGTCGTTTAAAGAGAGTGAAAGTGAGAGAAAAGATTAGGTATGGGGGGTATTGAGAAAAGGATAAAAGTTTAATGGGATTCAAGAAGACAGAAGATAGTGATTTATATTGCATCTAAATTTTAGAAAATTTTAGTTATCAGGAAAGCAATTAAACGGAAGGGAGTTCCACAGAAAAGATATTGTTCAAGTATTAGTGGCGGTTGCATTCGGAGCCATTATCCATTATATCACTTGCACATTCAAGCTTACATCACTTTGTATTCCCAAGCTGTCACCCATCAAGGTACTGACCAAGCTTGACGTTGCTTAGCTTTGTTGATGATACAGGAACTGTTGTTTTAGCCTGACGCGGCCGTAAGTGTCAGATAAATAAATGTTGCAAATAATTCTATTGATTTACATAAGAAATTTCATCGTTGTTACTTCCAAAGGGAAACATGAAAATCAAGTGGAATTTTAATGAACACAGATTTTTTTAATCATTTCACCCCAAGCAAGGCAGAAATGCCATTACTACACAAGGGTTTACAGAGAGGAAAATTGAGAGGAAAGACTGCGTATAGGGGGAGTGATGAAAAGAATAAACATTGAACAGGATTCAAGAAGATAGAAGATGGCGATTGACATTTATTTTTTTAAAGATTGTAGTTATCAGGGAAGCAAGTAAACGGAGGTGAGTTCCACTGTCGGTAAGTGCGAGAAAAGAAATTATTGGAGTAGATGTGGCGGTTACATTTAATATTTTTAACAGTAAAAGGAAGCGACATTGATGTCAATCTAGTAGCACGCTTAAATTCGTGGAGTCGGAGAACCGTGTGGAGTGGGGAAGAGACATTTTCATCTTAGTAAATTGTTTTGCATTTTAATTAGAGAAGCATTTCTTAAATCAAAATTGTAATCAATCTCGTTATGGTGAGCAATTAATGCATAATTTGCGTATTCGCTAGATTAACCAGAGAAAATTTGCGTCCAGGTATTTACAGCGTTTCAGTTTCCTTGGCAAATTTATTATAACAATGTCAGATATTTCATTAAAAAAATTGATGGAAGCATAAACGCGTATTAAACGAATCTAATTGCATTTGGTTAGATTATATGCCCAATATAATATATATATATATATATATATATATATATATATATATATATATATATAATTATTTATTTAAAATATGATTCCAACTCGCGACATAAGAGGTCTAATGTTTCAAAACAAGAGCCGAAAACTTCAATATAATTATTTGAATTAAATTGAATTAAAGTAAACTCTGTTCCATCTTCAAGCGAAATTTGTTTGGAAATAACGTATTTCTGAAATTTACGTGTTTTAATAATTGAAATTAAAATTTCCATGGTAACAGCTAGGGCGAATTGTTTAAATTGGGTGGGCGTGTGTTAGGTGTTAATAATAAGTATCAGTATAGAGATTTCATAGATGTCAAGTCAGGGTAATGGGGGTGTATAAATTTGAAACGGAAGATGTTTTAGCCTAGTCTGGTTTACGTGTCTATGGAGATTTTATTAATTTTTTTTTATTTTATTTCTTTATGAAAGGGATCTGCATATATATATATATATATATATATATATATATATATATATATATATATATATATATATATATACTTATTATTAACACCCAACACACGCTGATTTCAATTATTAAAACACGTAAATACGTTATTCCAGAAAAAAAAATTTGTTTGAAGATGGAACAGAGCTTACTTTAACTCAATTTAATTCAAATAATTATATTGAAGTTTTCGGCTCTTGTTTTGAAATATGAAACTTCTTATATCGCGAGTTGGAATCATATTTTTAAATAAATAATTATATTTATGCTCTACTTTTGTATCGAGCACTATTTTTTAAAAATAATAACTAAAATACTAAGGAACTTTAGATTATTTACCTAACCAGTTCTTTCCTATTTTCCATGTATTCACACACACACACACACACATATATATATATATATATATATATATATATATATATATATATTGTTAAATATAACAGGCATCCAATATCTATTATGTTTGATCATGAGGCGTTCAAAATCCCGTGTAGTTGCATTAATTTCAGGAGAAAATAAAGAAAATAAATGTCCAACATTTGGGTATTTTTAGTATGCTTTTCCTCGATCTAAGCTTTCGACTCATATGAACCATCTTCAGAGCGGTTATGCAGACATTTAAACAAAGAAATACACCATCAAAGATGATATCCTGTTATGCTACATAGAAGATTGCTATGCGATGATAACGGCCGCGTAATAGCAGACGCAGGTCGGATAAATCATCTTTGATTATGAATATCTTTGTTTAAATATACATATAAGCGCTCTGAAGATGGCTCATGTGTGCCGAAAGCCAAGATCAATAGCATAATAAAAAAACCCATCAAAATGTTGGACAATTATTGTCTTTATTTTCTTCTGAAATCATAGTAACTATATGAAGTTTAGAATGGTTCCTGATCAAACATAATAGACATTCGATGTCTGTTATATTTAACAATATATGTTAGAATAATGATCTGCTGCCCAAATACACTAAATTTATATATATATATATATATATATATATATATATATGAAGAAATATGGTATTAAGATGTGCGATATTTATGGGATAAAGTGCTCAATATCAGAGATAGAACGTGTATAAATATAAAAGTGAACAGAGAATCAACACTTAGAGGCGACAGTCTGTTTCATGCTAGATGCAATCGTCAGGCCACGAGTGCTGTTATTTTTCTCGGCTATTTATATATACCGGTCAGTGGTGCATTGTGGGTAGTCTATTTTGGCGGTTATTTTACCGGATGTCGTTTATTTGTTTATTTATTTATTTGTGTTAAATTATTTTGCTTGTTTTTATTTATTTTTTTATTTTTATTTTTGATTTTTATTTCTTATCGTATATATTTATTTATTTTTTATTTTAATCGGAGTTTTTATTAACATAGTAAAAATTTGTTTATATCGCTTATTTAATAGTTTTGTTTTGGTTTGGGAAGATAATTAAAGCTATTTATTCAATTTCGGGGTTGATTGTTCTAGTTTATTCTAACTATTATTGGGTGGGAACAGTTTTTACAAATAAATAAACGACTTCAGTTAAAAGAATCGCCAAAATAGACTATCCACAATGTACTA